AACTTCAAGTCCGCTGGAACAGTATTTATGAACAGCCGACGTTTTCCAACTGTAGAAAGGCGTTGTATAAGATGATGTCAAACAGATATACAAATATCTGTGTTTTCTATACAGTAGGGATTCTGAGACGGTTCTGAACGGAATCATTGTCGTTTCTTCGAGGTCTGCTCCCCTCAGGGGAGACTCCGCTCACTATCGCAACTTTGCATATCTTCTTTTAGAAAAACTGCACTTTTTTCGGATTCTGGAACGCTTTTCGTCTTCGAACAGTGTTATGAACTTTTGCTGGAAAAAACTATTCAACAACCATAGGCGGATTTTCGTTGAATTTACTCATGCACAACACACCTTAAACTTTGCTCAGTCCAACAATTTTTTTGACCTCCAAGCTTCTTGGAATTAGAAGGGAATTATGGATTCATGAGAAAGTAACCCACTACGTTCACCGCTGATGCCCTTCGCTTGGTTTTTTGATCCATTCCTAACCTCTGCCCTTTTTTTCCCAGTGTATGGACTCAGTTGCCAATTTTTTCCCAGTGTATGGACTCAGTTCCGCCTTTGACACCGCCCACCCCCGCGCATGCTGTGCCTCTTGTTCCGCTGAGCTCACCTGTGCTCGTTGATCTTTTTCCAGATCCCATCTATGTCAAACTTGATCCGACTTCTATGGAGGTTTCTTTAAGTTTCTTCATGAAAAAGTGGAAGGCAAGCACTACAATTCCATGCAGCAGTGAAGATTAAACAAATGGAGAATCGAGGGCTATCTGACGTGAATGCTTGAGAGTGCTTTGTTTTCAAATTCAAAAAAATGTCCTAATGTCACATTTGTCTTTCTGAACATCGTTCGAACACGAAAAAGTGAGACGTAATTTGAATTTGAAAAATGGGTGTTCGATATGTAAAACGTCTAGTTTTTCACAGTCTTGGACAAGAGATCAATTTCAATAGCGGCCACATTTATCTTTGTCGGGTGATCAAGCGAAATAGTATTTAAACGTGTTCCATACGACGACGGTAGCTCATTGAAACTTGAAAGACCGCATCGTAAATAGGCTAGTTAAGTGAAGAAAGCTGAACACAGTCGAAGCTATGAGCATTTCTTCCCTTCAAAAATTCCGGATAGAACAAATTCTTGAGTAAAAAGAAAGGTCCGTACAAGTCTTGCGCAATACTTGAAGCAATAATGCCTTCTCCGAATAAACCGACGACTGCGAAAACAACGCTGGGCTGGTTCAATAATACTGAAAGGACAGCGACAGAAAGGTAGGTAGGTTCTATTTCGACACTGTTCAATCTTCAAACTCGGAATCGACGCCGAAAAAAAGCTGATGAACGCATTTTTGAAAATAATGTCCATAGACTTGCCTTTGTGATGTTCAGGCATTGGAAGTTATTTCTGTAACATCCTGCTGTCAAGGCATGGCACTATGCTGCTGTGCTGACGATGTGAGTGAAGTGACAATAATAACTGCACCTTGCGCTCTATCCATGTTGCCACAGTGTTTTTTGTATTCGGCCCTTACCTTTCGTACGGTACATGAGCTCTGCGTAGATTGACGGGTGCTGAGCTAATATATACTATGTTCGTTATATATTATATTCGATTATATCCGTGATTTACCTATATTGCTGAAGACGATGGATTGTTCTCATGAAACTCGCTTCGTAGTCTCAACACGTAATTCTATAATAGTTCGGGACATAGTTGTGCAGTCAATTGTGTTACGAAATAGCGTGCTTTTTGTGAAAGGCTGAAACATTTATATATTCTTCCATCATAGGTGTGCTGTTACCAAGGCGGTTCAACTTCATAGTGCTTACTTTCGACTTTGTAAGCCTTGTAATAGGCTGGAATCCGAAGTTACCTGAGATTCATACATATGACGGACTCGAGCGCCATTCGCTGCTTCCATAGTCCGTCTGCCGGCCCGCGAGCGTGCAGACCAGGAAACTGCTCGGCCGGCGGTATCGACCAAGATTGAGTTGTGAACAAGGGGCAAACGCCGCCTCCGGCCGGCCGACACACCATGAAGGCAACCATTCAAACAAAGGCTGCTTGGTTTTGGTTGAAGGTTGGTTTGTTATGCCCAAAGTCCTGCACGGAGGAAGTCACTGGGGCCACCTTCAAATGTACCTTTCAGCAACTCTGTCTTTGATTTGAGGTGCGCTTCACCGTTGCAATTCACAAGGTCAGCGCGTTTATCTTTGACTTATGTTCAAACTGTTATTTCTGGAAAATTCGACGCATCCCAATAATATCGGCTTCTAAGCTGCGGCGTAGGCGACAGCGGCGATACCGTAGTTGAAAAAAGGGCAACAGGACAATCATGTACTCTTGAAAGGATCATCCATAAAAAATGCAAAGAAAGTATTGGCTCCGTAGCACAAACTCTTCTAACAAATGTGTTTCAGATTCTTCAAGAAAGCAAGAGTGAGGGCTCAAAAGAATTGATTTGTGGCAGCAACCGAAGGAGGTGGACTCCAGAGAAACGGTAATGAAAGTATAGTCCCATTATCCCTTGCCTGAACACATCATACTCAAGGACCGGTGCTACAAACTTAGGATAGCGCATAGAGGTCATCCTATCATATATCGCACAAAGTAGCGAGCGAGACTAGATTGTGTTATGAGGAGATAATGCAGCATGCTTCTAGAACAAAAGAATTCAATGAGTTGCGAACAAGCAGAAATATGTATACGCTAAGTCGCCTTCGAAAAAAAAAGAAGATCGATCTGCCCGTAGAGTTTACGAGAAGCTGGCCACTGCAGCCTAGCAAAGGTAAGACCCTAGCAATGGGAGCCCTGCACAAGGAACTGGCCAAACCCGACATAAAGCTTCCTAAAACATTCAGATAGTCAAGGCAGCGAAGAATCGTGATATCCTTTGCCGAAGCATATTACCGCTCGGAGACCGGAACACTCAACACTTGGTCTTCGTGATTGCCGAAATCGGAATTCCAGATTCATAAAGAAGCTGCGCTATCGTTCCATTTTTCAGACAAAAGACGAAGTGGTGAATGACGATAGATCTAATGGCAAGACACTTGTGCACACCCGCATTGCGTAACAAAAGCAGTGGACATCATGGTAGGAGTGCTCCAAGGATCAGCCTGAAGCCCATTCCCTTTTGAATCCCACTGTGCGCCACCACAAAAGATTGGTGAGTAAAGTGCTCAGAATCATTTGCAGCTACTAGACCACCCTGATGAAGGACGATAGAGAACAAGTCCTTTAGTGGTACTCCAGGACGCTCAAAAGAAAGTATCTCGGATAGGGGCAAGGCTCACGATGCTCTACTGCAGCTGGTGCTGACCAATTGGCAAGAATCGTGACGGGAAGCATATTATCCTGAAATGAGGATGCTAAAATGGATCTACCGTTGAAACTGACTGAATTGGGTGAGAACGATGATTTTGAGGTGGTCAACAGAGCGGTTCCATCCACTCCAGTTCATTAGTCTGTCCAGACCATTGCAAGCAATGCTAGAAACATCACAGGATCACACGATTTGGAAAGCAACCTTCGAAGCCTATGGGGTGGGAGACTGGATGTATCGTCGTTGTATTTAACCAGTGGCGACGAAGGTATTTTGTACGGACAGTAGTGATGCGTGTACTGAAGTCTACATTACTAAAAAATAGTGAGCTCTTAGAACTAGTTTCTCTGGACTATTCTAGTTTTTGTACCAAGTCAAGCTCACGTTGATGTGAAACTGAGATGTAGGTATCCGTTCAACGTTTCTACTTTTCCACGTTCAGCTATTTCTTATTTGAACTGTCGGAGATCGACAGAAAAGGTGTTTGTACAAAGTGCGTGCAGCTTATGACGGATACGCAGCGACTTGCCGGGGCACAGGACCAACTGAGAAGCTTTTAGCTTCAATAGTATTTGGCTACAATAGAAGAAATTTTTATTTATGGGCATGCTGAGAGAGAGAGACTAGACTACGCATAACTCGGAGGATAATAGCGAAAGAAGACTAAAGGTTCAAAACGTGTCCCAGAGATGACAAACTGTTTCCATCCTAGTATGGAGACCTAGCATGAGTTGACAGTCCCTTTTTGGCCTTCTCTACACACCAATGGTCAAAACGTTAAAAAACATCTCAGAAATTTCAAAAGATCTGACATAATCGAATCGATTTGTGCGTTGATGATTTATTGAAGATCCGAGCGTCCAGGCTGTCTTCCTCGGTAGAATACCGAAGAAGACAGCCTGGACGCTCGGATCTTCAATAGAATCGTAGAATAGTTCATTTTTACGAAGGTTTCTACTGTGTGTCCCCTGAATATTCAAAGGACTGAGTGCATAGTTAACAGATTCATCCAACAAATCCGGTTCTATCACAATCACATAAAACATTTGTGGGACATAAAAGTGCAGCATTTGAAAAATTTTGAGCAAGAGAATGCTATTATACAAAAGTGCACCTGCTTTGAATCCCCTTCAGATCCTACGGGCTCAAACTCGGTCGATCAGAGCAAATAATGAGCTCAAAAAGAAAGCCGTGCACTCGAAACCGAATAATATACATAGATGTCATCGATTCTCTTATCAGATAATCAGAGCTCGTTAGAAACTTGCTGACATCCTATTATCATTCTCACGGATTCGCTGAGAATTCCCAATCCAGAAAACTCAAATCAGTCGAGGCAGTCAAACGCCGCGGTGGCGGCGTGGAAGGCGAACGAAAAAAGCGAAAATGGCCGATGAACTTGCTGCGAATTGGGCGAGATTCTCACCAAGTTGAACGACCGTTTCCAAGCACCGCCTTTTTACTTTTTCATCAGGAACTACGCTTTTATGAGTGATGCCAGATATTCTTTGTTCTTTTCTTCATTAACGAAGATTTACGGCTTCTATATGTTACATCAAAACATTGTTATATACTTTTTATTGTACACATGGCCTACATCCGTATGAGAAAATGTAAATAAATAAAGTGAGAGGCAATAAGAGGTCAGAGGTGCAGACTCGAAACAATGAATCGCCATCCGGCTTAGTATCCTGGAGCAGTTCGTGGTGGTGGGCAATGATCGCATGATCCCTTACCACCATCTTTTCCAGGAGCTCCAGGCTCTCCAGGTGCTCCGGGATTTCCGGGAGCGCCGTCCTGCCCAGGATCTCCTTGGGCTCCAGGCGATCCAGAAGTTCCAGGGTTTCCTGGGCGTCCGTCAGGTCCGGGTGGTCCTTGTGGTCCTGGCTCTCCAGGCTGTCCTGGTGGACCAGGAGGAGATGGTACGGTGCGTACTTGTCCGGGAGCTCCAGGTTGTCCGGGTTGGCCATCGTTTCCAGCGGGTCCAGGAGGTCCTTGAGGTCCAGGCGCTCCTGGTGATCCTGGTCGCCCATTGGGTCCTTGATCTCCAGGGGCACCAGGGCTGCCCGGTTGTCCCTTGGGTCCAGGTTGTCCTGGAGCACCAGCAGGTCCCGGTGGGCATTCAAAGCAGAAGTCTTCAGGACGTGGAATAACGTGATCGTTCGGAGCGTCAGGTCCAGGTGCTCCAGGAGCTCCAGGTCGTCCATCATTTCCAGGAGCACCATCCTGTCCTGGATTTCCAACAGGTCCTGCTGGTCCCATTCCGCAAGAGCAGCATTGGTAGGTTTGCCTTTTCTCTCTGGTTTCGACCTTGCGGAAAGATTCGAGCTGAAAAAGTAGGAATACATTACAAAAAATAGGGTTAAAGGCAAGACAAATAACGGTGACTAATAGAAAAAAGAAGAGCGGACCTTTGAGTACTCCCCGCGGAGTCCTTCAGCCCTGGTGCGGCAGAAATTGATCTCGTCTTGTAGGCCTGATTGTACATTCTGCATGTACATGCAGAGCATTGGCACAGCTACAATAGCCGTCAATGTGGCCACAGTTGAGACGGCAACACCAAAGAAGGCGAACCTCTTCACCGACTCAGCTTCGACGAGCTTCAACTTGTCCTCCATCTAAAAATTGCTTGCAGTAAATCGGCCAGAAGTAATGAGTATGATAATCTTAGAGGGAATAAATATGAATGGAATTTGATCAAATCAAATCGATCAAAGGGAACAAAAAAGAGGCTCTACTACATCTTGCCGAAATCTACTGAAAGATTTGAAGCTGATTCGATATTTCTCGATCGGATAAGCAGATGAAAGAAGACGATTGAGATTGGGATGGTTCTTTGTGGGCAAGAAGATCTCTTTTATAGTGGTCAGGTGTGACGTCGTCACTTTTCTGCGCGTCAAGCTGACCATCGACGCCCACTCGAACGAGAACACGCCCTCCCTCAGCCCCCAGCTATACAGCGCTAATATGGTCAGCGTTGGGTAAAACAGCAGATTAATGTTTCTCTGCAGAACAACTAGCACTACTGTTTGCCCTATGTCTAATATTCCAGTTGCTACTAAGCAGATACTGTAAGGAAAGAGTAAAGGTTACCTAGTGGACGAAAATTCGGTTCCGATGCGAAAACCATGTGTATTATCATTACAGTTTTCGAGTTTCGCATTGATAGCCAGAACTTATCCATGTGGAAACGTATGCATTCCTATAGTGATCCCCGAATGCAAGCTTATTCGAAATGTAGATAGCGGTTTCCCCTAATAGATGTGCATGACCACAATCGTACTATTCAATACAATGTTTTGCTAAAAATTTTTAGGAATAAACCAATTTGCTTGTTTTTTTCCACGTGACTCTTCTCAACGTTGATATTTGTCATGTAATGCAAGTTCCTCAAAAGTTTGTTGGAGATAAACGATACACAGACTGCTCAAGTGGCTTTTACGGATTTCTTGAAGTAGGCCATACTACGTCTATATTGTATACTCGTATCTAGCCTTAATTCTGTGACTCCAGTGATAATCTGATCAAGAGAACAGCTTCAAAACAACCTGCACCACCGTTTTGGTGTGACAATTCTACAATTCGGGCAGAGTGCAGTAGTGGCAAGCGGCACACTATTGCACATGCACGGTCACTAGTCCCATACGGATATCCTCAAGGCCAGCGAAGTCTTCCATACTCCGGGGCCGGTTAACTAGTACCAAACTTGATTGGGAGGATAAAAGCACTGACTTGTACACCGGCTGGTTCCCGCAAGTCATCCTATATCTCCAACATTCTACAACTCGATTTACGATCAGCTATTGAACTAATTATAATTGCTTCGCTCGCACCTAGGTGCGAGGCGACCATGATGAAGGATGAAGGTCGGGATCATCTAACTTCCCGTACATTCTCATTAATCTAGCAGGACGCAAAAAAAAACTTTGAAAATCATATGAATAGCAAAACAGAACATTACGGGTGAAATCATATAACCAATTTATTTGTTTGAGAGATTACTATTGTGCATAAGTGAAGATATAATAGTAAAATATACATCCTACCTTTTCTCTAGGAGATCAACAGGCATCTTGATGATAACTTAAAGCCTCTGCTGGCATCAAATTCATGGAGTGGTTATCAGGACGAAGCATCTCTGGTTCATAAATCTTCTTCCCATTTTTGATTTCATAGCCTTCACTCAGGAATGAGTCCAAAGCTGCAGCGGATTTACCCAATGCAAATGAAGGGAAAGAATGCTCAAGAAGCTCCACAAGGAAGAGTTAAGCAAGAACGGAAATCTGAAATCCGAATACGCATGGTAATTAATACCTCTCGTGATTTGGTCAACATTTTACTTTTGAAGTATTTCCAGGATTTTTCGAATATTTTCGCAAGTACGATTTACTGACATTTATTCACATTCTTTATGGTCTCTGTAATCCCTATTTTCATACAACGGTGAACGTGAGATACTAACATGATAGAAAAGAGCGGCGAGCCGGAAAAAAGGTGCCAAAGGAAAAAGATGGGTTAATGTGTGCTATAAATGGAATTGAATGTGGAATATCGGTGTGAGTTTTGAAAATGGCTGTTTTTCGATATATTCGCGTAAAAGGATGAATAGAACTGATATCCTGTAAGACTCTTTGCAACATGCTTGCTTCTTGCCCGATTGAAGATGACGAATGAAAAGTTTAATGAACTCTGAGTCTTTGCACTTAACCAGCGACGCTTCGCACCTAGGAGCGAAGCAGCTCTAACTAGGGGGATAGCTGATCCATAAATAGAGAGCTGGACGGTTTGGACGAGTTGTCCGTCGCAGAAGTTGCGCTGTGTAGGCAGCTCCTGGGCCGAACGACGTACACCCATACGGGCATCACTCTAGGTCAGTTGAGTGGTTTGGAGATGGAGAGTGATCAAAAAAAGTAGTACGGTAGAAACCCTGCAGACTGAAATATCTTGTAAAAGCAGGAAGTCTTTGGCATCAAAAAATCCCGTCGGGAGATGGGCGCCCGCATCCGACATCCCTTCAAAATCGTAGTGGGTGGTATTAATGCGTATTTGACCTACACAAGAAATTGTGGTTGCCAACCCATGTACAAGTCAGTGCTTTCAGCACCTTTGACGAGCCTCGTGTTAATTAGACGACGTGGAGGGATTCAAAGATTTGTTCGCTTGGAAGGGTGCCGATCCGAGATGCGAGCATCAGACCATGCGCGTGTGATGGTGCGCTACTCACTCACTACACCACCTCCGCCTCTCTATCCTTCAAAATCGCTATGCAAAATGAAGTACGGCAGCGTAATCAGTATCGGTACAGAACGTTTCGTTTTTGCAGAGAACAATTGGCAAGAAATCTACTGCATATTACTTCTAGACACATTCAATAAGAAATAATACAAGTTTCCAAGCTTGTTGTCTTCGTCTCACCTATCAAAGCAAGTGTGTCTTACCTATCAAAGCATCAAAGCAGAGCAAGCAAGCAATCAAAGCAAAAGCATCAAAGCAGATCAAAGCTAGACTTCTGTGGCCTAATGAATACAAAGTAAGTATTCGCTACAAATCATGATTTTGCTCAGTGAGTTCTGTATGCATCCCCTTGATGAAATACGTCACTCTTCTCTCGATAAATAGTTCTCATTCGCAAAAGTATGAATACATCCCCGCAAAACAGAAAGCTGGTCATGCTAGTTTGTGCGAAAAAAAGCCGAAACAAGAAACATCGAAACAAAACAGTCGGATTTTTGCTGGGATTCTCTGGGAGCTTTCATAGAAATACAATGGAAGGACACTACTCACATGTATGCACAAACCGGATCGCGGCTGAACTTGAACCTTTCAGTTTCAGATGAACGGATTAAAACTTTGGTGCTTTGGAACGAGGTGTGCACGGAACGGATTAAAAAGAACTCTAGTGCTTAGCGTTGGACCTACAATAGATTTAGGCAGTGTGAGTTGCCGAAATCCAATCCGTGAAGGAGTACAAGTTAAGTACGGATAAACAGTTCAATTATTATAAGGTTAAAGGCACAGTTCACGATAATTCAATGAGCGGGAAAGTCAATGGCCTTCCAGCCTCTCGATCAATGTCACGTCAGACGAGTGTCGAAACAATAAAGTAAAGTGCAACTATTCGTTCTAGGACCCACACGCAATTAGCTGGCCCCCGAGTGATGAGGCGATGTTTTTCTCCCATTCTTTTTTCCTCTGTTATTCTTCTTACTGCTCCTAGAGGCTGAAAAAGGTGAGCTTCTTTTGCTGTTTCTAGGTTTTTTTGTTTACTTATACTTATAAGTGAATTAATTTTTGCTTACCGTAGTCTGTTTTTCGCACCAGGGCCCACCTGTACGCAGTGAGACACATTCTATAGCTCGTCCAAACGCCTTACTCTTCTTCATTTTTCCGGTCTCATTCTCGTCTAACCCCCCTTTATGACGGTTTTTCGAAGGCTTTTTCACTTTAAAACATCGATTCACGCAGTTTCTCCACCTTCATCGCACTATTTTCAATCTTGTCTTCCATTTTTCATCATAATCTGGATTACTCAAAATTATCGTGAACTGTGCCTTTATAAGCAGGGAAGGGGTAGTCAAATACTTTGTTCGTATGCGCGTGGGAGGCGTCCTCGCATTTTTACTTAAAAACTGCCAGAAAATCTCGAGAGAAACCAGGACCATTGCAATGTTTCAGCAGGCACTTCCTGTACGGCCTAGAGCAATGATAGCGAGCATTAATGCTAATGACGTGTCCTCGAGCTTCGTATGTCAAACTGAAAGGCACAGTTCACCTTTTCCTTCCTTCATCAAGTTTCCTCGCATCAAGAAGCCCTTCAGGCAGCCATTGACTGCGTTAAGACTTGGTCTACTGGGTGGGGATTGCCGCTGTCTCATGATAAAACCAAAGTCTTTTGCATAAATTGTAGGGACACAGTTATACAATATAGACTTGGCTCCCAGGAGTTGCAACAAGTAACTGATGTTCGTGACCTAGGTATCAAGTTTAACAACAAGCTCGCTTTTGATACTTACTATACTGAAATTGTATCCAAAGCTATGCATCGAGTATATAACCTCTTCAGAGCTGTCAGAGTGAAGGACTCTAGAACGCTTATTAGAGCATATAAAACTTATGTTAGACCGATTTTAGAATCAGGAACAACTATATTCTCACCCTACAAGAAAAAGGACATATTCCTTTTAGAGAGCGTACAAAATAGCTTCACGCGAAAGCTGGCTATGCGGTGCACTGGTCTGGGCTACCAGTTCATTCCAGATGGCACTGCGCGCCGTCGTATTTATTCGCTTCCCAGTCTTTCTGATCGAAGAAATGTCAACGACCTTATGATGGCATTCAAAATCCTCACTAATAGGGCTTCGGTCAACCCTGAAAAATTCTTCACTCTGAACCATTCAAGAACACGCG